ATGCTCCAAAGGGCCATGGCAGACCTTGATGATGATGATGGTGTCTACATTCGATATCGTACTGATGGAAGCCTATTCAACCTCAGGCGACTGAAGGCCCACATCTTGTCCAGGAGCTGCTTTACGCTGATGACGACACCCTCGTCACTCACACAGAAGTAGCTCTGCAGCATTTAACATCCTGCTTTGCTGAGGCTGCTGAGCTTTTTGGGCTGGAAGTCAGCTTAAAGAAGACAGAAGTCTTCCATCAACCTGCACCTCAGGAAGTCTTCCATCATCCCCATATCACCATTGGCCAATCAGAGCTCAAATCAGTCCAGCAGTTTAATTACCTAGGTAGCCTCATCTCCTCAGACAGTAAGATTGATGGAGAGATAGACAACAGGTTAGCAAAGGCATATAGAGCTTTCAGAAGACTCCATAAAAGAGTTTGGCAAAATAAACACCTGAAGAAAAGTATGAAGATCAGTGTTTATAGAGCCATTGTGCTGTCTACTCTTTTATATGGGTCCGAATCATGGGTCATTTACTGCCACCACCTGTGACTCCTAGAATGCTTCTATCAATGCTGTCTCCATACAATCCTCAACATCCACTGGTCAGATTATGTGACCAATACATCTGTTCTAGAACAGGCAGCAGTTACAAGTATTGAGGCCATGTTGCTGAGAACACAGCTGCGTTTGGTGGGACACGTCTCCAGGATGAAGGACCACCGCCTCCCTGAGATCTTGCTTTATGGTGAACTTGCCACTGGGTGCCACAAGAGAGGAGCCCCGAAAAGGAGATACAAGGGCTCCCTGAAACAACATCTCAGCCTTGGCCACATTGATCTTCATCACTGGTCTACTCTGGCCTCCAATCAGGAGGTCTGGAGACACACCATCTATAACGCTGCTGCTTCTTTTGAGAACGCACGCAGGGTCACTTTCAAAAAGACAATGCAGAAAGAATCGTGTCTTGCCGATACCATCCAAGGAGTCTTTCTGCTGTGCCTTTTGCAACCGGACATGTCTTATCTCCCATTGGCCTCTTTAGCCACCAGCATGCTTGTAGCAAATGTGGGTAGCGCCCTTCCCAAATCTTTGTTCGCGAAGCCTAGCTGTGATGAAATAGTAAATATAAGCAGTGTATTTAGGATGTGGTAGAAAGTGTGACAAACTTAAAAATGTAGCAATAAGCTCTTGCCCGAAGTGTAGACCTTTAATGTCAGAATATGAATTTGTTATTTAACTTTAAAGTACTCCTCTTTTTATTGTCATGACCTTTTATTAGCAGCCTATAACTGGTCTATTGTTATGCATGTTCTAACAGAGTATGCATACTGCAATGAAGTATAGATGCTCTTCAGGTGTTGAATAAAGTATTTACTATTTCCATATTTAGATACAGGACAATTTTTCAATGACATGCCTTTTAATTGCTTAATCAGAAAGGTTATATAAAATAGTTTTAGCAGTAGGGGGGTTTCTGATTAACTGATAATGGAGCAAACCCATATTACAGACTATTTTGATTATTTTGCCTTGATTACCAAATATTAGTCTGATCTTTTTCAAAAAATATATCCAAGTTTTTAAGTCTGATATTTATCCACAGTATAGAAATGCTGTAAGAAATTGCAGTGTTTGCCTCTCTATACTGTCTTGAGAATTTGTTTCATCCCTGTTAAAGAAGGTCATTCCACTTATCAGAAAACTGACCAATACCTGAAGATGTGGAACACTCCCAGCATAAAAGTTGTTTAGGTTCTCAAAGTACAGTTTTGTTTTGTTGCTCCTACATCCATAGGCTGTATATTTTGACATATTTTAATACAATAACAAGATTAGATAGGTCAGCTTTTAATCATGATTGAGGTTTTATTTATACTGTATTTTCAAATATAAAGTTGTTTAAGAATTTCACTATGCACTTTGAATCTTGGGAAAAAAACCCCTTTTTTTTTTAAATAGTCTATTCCCTTTGCTATTGCAACAAAACCAGTGTTGTAAAGAAAAGTGCTACTGTATAGCACTATTTTTTTAAGTGGAAACAAACTTCAACTTTTTCTTTTAAAAGTTGAAATCATCAGCTCCTCTAGGAGTGAGAGAAAATATACATGACAGCAGCCTGTGACTCAGTTTCTTACAGTTTTAATGTGGCAAAATTGTCATTAAACATGTGTTTGTTTACCAACCTAAAATTTAGTTATACCATTGTGAAAGAATTTAGAATGGCCTTAAGAGCAGTGCATTAATCTTCTAAATGGGATTATTCAGCTGTTTGCTACTGTCTTGATAAGAAGATGAGCTTCACCTGTTTGAAAGAGGAATGCAAGTGGAAGATACAGATTTAGAGGTTTTTTTTAAAATTGTTAGAAAAAATATAGTATTTACTAGAATAATAAGACTTGTCTTTCTTATAGAAACTTTAGTATAATTTCTCTGGATTTCTTTATTCAACTCTGTTTTGTATCTGTAAGAAAAGTTCCAATACAATTTCCTGTCCAGTAAAAGATACAGTGTATTTGAATAAAAACATGGAATCTAATCTCTTTCATGGCTTGTAAAGGAAGTTGGTAAATCCTTTTGAAAATGAAGAATAAAATTATTTGTATCTACATCTATCTTTGTACTCGAAAAGTTGTCAAGTTGTCTTTCTATGCTTAAAAACAGAGATATAGTCAACTCAAGAATGGAGCATAGGCGCACAAGACTACATTTTTTGGCCTAATAGAATCTTATAGGCAATATTGCAATTACAAGAAATACATCTACCATCAAAACCTCACCTGATATATTTCCTTAATCTTCTGTCATATGATCCTACAAGTTTTAGATCTATAGATCTAGATTTTTTTAGTAATCCTTGAGTGCATTGACAATGATGAGTTTTGTATTGCTGAACTCAAAGTACTTGACACCGTATTCTGAATGACTATAAAATATATGCCTATTTTAACTGTTTAAATCAAAGAGTTTTTTATATAGAGTGCTAATAAGTGAGTCAATTTAAAGCAGTCTTTTCAATAAAGAAAAAGAAAAGATGCTTCATTTGGGATAAAAGTCACTGAATCACAAGAGGAAAGGCTATCAAAGGAGAAGATTGAAAGGCCTGTTACTCAATAACAGGATCAAATAAAAAATTTTTATTTTTATGAATATTTACATCAAGGTTTTGGTGTTGGAATTCTTTTCGTTATTCATTGTCCCTGCGTGGAAAGTAGCAGGATAGTAGCTGCATCCAGATTTTCCAAAGGGGTCCAATGGAAATTCAGGACTTGGTTCACATTTGTTTGGAAACTAAAAGATTCTGAATTTCTTCATATACACTGACACAAATAGAGCACTTGATCCCAGGTCAGTATTTCAGTCAGAATTTCACTATGCACTTTGAATCTTGGGAAAAAAACCCCTTTTTTTTTTAAATAGTCTATTCCCTTTGCTATTGCAACACATATAACTAATATAACTAATCTGCAGGTATAGAAGGAACATACATCAGATCACTTCCATTCATGGATTCGTGAAATCTGGATGCTGAATCTGGCCTGAACATTTCTGTTGTTGGAACTCCTTTGAGAATATGCCATTTAGCCCAGAGCAGGTTCTCAAAAATTTTTTCCTAACACTTTTAGATTTTCTGCGTAAAAACCTTTGAAAATTCCTATAACTTTTTTCATTAGGAATGTATCAGTTCCTTCTTATTCTTCTCTCCCCAGTCTCTGTAGGCTACCAGGTTGGACACCCAGACACCCTTCTCATACTGCACCAGGAATTACTGGCTCTTGTGCCAGCAGGTTTCTGGAACTGGCTGGTACAATAATGCCCCTTCTCACTTTGTAATTCTAAGAGTCATTAAGTGGACTGTAAGAACGACTAAGTAGACTTGTATGTGTAATTTGAAATAAGTACTAGGTAGGGTTTGTACTTTTACTGACATGTTTTACAGTCATCTACGTCTGTGTTTCAATCTGCACTTCTAAGTCATGCAGACTCAGTCATTTTCAAGTTACAAGCACGCTGTGCTGTGCCTGTGTCAGAGAATAGTTTATAAAATTGGAGTAACTGAGTTCATATCTGATTCTTAAGTGTGAATAATGAATTCTTATTCAATGTCTTTTGTTGTTGTTGCTCTTTTTTAGCTGCTTTTTTTTTGTTGCAAAATAATAGTTACTCATGAGAGTTAAAAAAAAGTACACATACTTATTTGAAATGGTGCTATTTGCGTCCTGATTGTATTTAACAGTATGCAGTAAATCTAGTAAAATAGAAGTGCAGTCTTTATGTATTTAAGAAGAAAAAAAGTGTAAATTCTGCCTGCTGTCCCGATAAACTCAGCAATTTACTAGCTTTAAATACAGTTTTATTTTCCTGTAGAAACTGTTAATGATCTTCAAGATGCAGGTCTCACTGCCCATTTAAAATGTCTCTATGAGCGAATTACCTGATAATACAGCTCTTCTACTGCAAAATATCTAAAGATTATTAGATCTGGAATTTTTATTTTCTTCTAATAACTCATCTGTCATGATGCACAGTAAAGGCATTTGCCTTTACTTTTGTCTAACTTAAGGCAAGCTACATTTTTGTCTTACCTCTTCTTCATGATGGGATTGCCCTTGCACATTCTACTACTCTGCAGGATAGAGATGTTAACTGTGAATCAGAAATCGTATTGTAGGTGTAAGGCATAAAATAAAATCGATACATTTTTCTGAGCCATGTCACTGGTTAAGTGATAAAAAATATTCTGATAGTCACTGAAAAAGAAAAGTCAAAGGTACATTTGAACCTGTCAGTTCAACACATTCCTGTTATCCCTTTAGGGGATATCATACAACTTGACACCAACATTTAAGCTTTGAAAATTATGAGCTCATCTATTTAAAATGGGATGTCACATGTTCCCAAGCCTTTGCCATTACTTATAATGGAAGACAGGATGATCACTTTTGTCACACATTGATAGTGAATAAGATCTTTCTTTTTTTCTTTTCTTTTTTTTTCTTGTTTCAGAATGAAGAACAAATTTTGGTATTTTGAATTTGGCACTTCGGAAACTTTCTCAGCCACCTGTAAGAAGCTGCATGAATCTGTAGAAATAGAAGTAAGAAACTAATTGTTGCCTTTATCCTTGAAATGTCACTAGTTTGGCTGAAATGCAGGGAACAAGGGTACAGAGTGCCTGAATCCAGTAAGGCAAAGGAGTGCACATCCTTTCGACCCTATATTCCAAAATATTATTTTTATCGTGTCTATTTGTAGTGTAGCCCCGAACACTGGAACAAAGTTCAGTTTGATGATTAGTGAAGTCTTAATACAGTAGACAAGGTCAAGAGGTGAAGTATAGCATTAGAAATCAATAGGGAGTGTGGCTAGGTCAGATGGAAAAATGAAAGACTGTTGGAGGGAGTGAGAGCTGCTGCAGGATTAAAATAAAAAAAAAATCTTGTTATTTCCAGGTCCCAAGATTTTATAACCTTTAAAACTCAATTCCCTAAAATTGTACTTACTTTCCTGAATAAAGGTTAAAGAATATATGTATTTTTTTGAATCATTCCCCTTCATTAAATACCTTTTCTCTCTGCACAAGGGGTCATCTTTCCATTATACATTGAACATTAACTGAAAAGACACAGCATAGTTACAGACAAAATAGGAATTTAAAATAGTGTGCCACTGCCACTTTGATGGCTGATGGAATAAGTGGCTATATTACATAAACTCTTTGGGGGATTGATGTTTATAAATAAGGACATGAAAAATGTGAAATGAGTGAAAGTACAAACTTGAGAATTTAAGTTAAATAATGAAATCATTTCTCAGGAGGATTATGGTGCTTTTCCTTTCCAATAGTAATGAGGAACTGCACGTGTCAATGGAGTATTTGTATAGCAGCATGAGGCACTCGGAGAGGTGTGGTGAGAGCTGTGAGTCTGGTCAAAGACTCCTGAAAGGTGAAGTCTGAAATGATCTGAAGGGACCATGAATCTGGTAGCAGAACAGTAGCAAAGAGTACTGAGACTGAAACTGTAAGACCTGCAATGCTAGATTTGCCTGTTATCGTGTTATGTTTCTTCTTAAAGTGGAAACATGCTCCTCACAAGTTGAATTAAAATACAATAAAAACAAAACCAAACATCAACCAGAAACCCTAGGAAAAAAAAAAATCCCCCTTGATTCCCAAGACAGCGCTTCACAAACATGCATTTGGGGAAACAGTGTATGAAAAATATTTCATTAGTTATTGGAAGAAATGCTTACTGGTTTGATTAGATTTGAATATACTGCAAGTTAAATGTACCTTTTGATTAAATTCAAATTGATGAGGAGGCTTTTCCAATAAAATATTAACATCTGGTGAAAATCATATATATCCTGATACATACTAAGAGGTGAACTTATATAATTGTCAACACTGAAAGGGCGATTTAATGTTGACATCCCAAAGTAAACAAGTAGGTATACGAGTTTGTGGTGCTGCTGCTACCAGTTGTATAGTTATTACCAATTCATGTCAATAACTATTGTTACCAAGATAGTATTACATTGCCAGTATATGAGACGTTTGTTAATATTCACTTCGTCTAGCCTGGTCATTATCATTAGTCCTACAATTAGGAACAAAAAGCATAGTTTCCAAAAGTTTACAGGAAGTGGTAGGAGGTGGTTATCTGCAGATTTATTTACAATGAGTAAATTACAATGCATGCCAATATGCTTGTTTGAACATTATCAACATTTGGAAGTAGCACTGTTTTAATCTAATTTTTAACCTGCTGCCCCTTACTTGGGGATGTCACTGTAAATGAGAGCTTGATGTATGAGACCATATTTCACTCAATATAATGCACAAAGAATATGTTTGCTATACAGCCAAATTTGGAATTAACAAAGCCCGGGAAGATTAAGGTTGTGTATCTCTGAGCTTTGAGACAGTGATCAAACGTTGTATGGGCAAATATTTGTTCAACCCTATATTTGATTTCTAACCTAATTAAGATCGGTTTTCTTGATATTGGTTTTCCTTGACTCATGTTGTACATGTTTTTTTTCTGTGTGAGTGTGAAATGCAGAACAAAGTTGGACATGAGTCTTATGTTATCCAGAATAAGATGTGTTTTTGTTTCCAAACTGGAATCCAAGAAGTTGAGGAGAGAAACATAGGTTCTAAAGGGAAAGAAACTAAAATGGAAAAAAACAAACAAACAAACTAGGACAAAATTAAGTATTTATTTTTAATAATAATGTGTCAGTAAACAAGGCTGATGATTTTACAGTTTAAAGAACTTGCACTTTATTTCTGCTTCAGTAAAAAAGAAGGGTATGTGAAAGGTATTTAATGAGAGTAGGTAGAGATGAAGTGTAAGCGGGGATGAGATGGATCATACCTGCAACACTGTAAAAGCATTGTCAGACCAGTGTAAACCTTCTATACCACCTGGTATTAATGGGTGAAGGAAAGGAGTTTAAAATGTTCACATACTCTGGCATTATATTGCCCTTGGTTACACAGCAAAGCCTTAATCTCAGCTCTTTTCAGGCATAGATATGGATATACTCAACTTAGAGGTGATCTGAAAATGTTTGATATAATAAATAAAGTATAAATAATAATATTGAAAAAGTGACTGAGGCCAGGAAAGAAGGCAAAAAAGAACTAAAAGAGATGGATTTTCTTTCTGATCTAGGTAGGCATGCTCTACATTTTAAAAGCATGCTTTTATTTTTAACAGCATCGTTGCATTATTTGAAATTTAAAAAAAAAAAAGGAAACAAGAAGGAGCAGAACACATCTGTGTTTTGTTGTTGTAGTATATGAATGTGTTAGGACAAAACAGAGCTACCTGTAGCGCAAACTTCTTGTCTGTATATGAACAAAAGAAAGGCTTCTTTCCTAATTCAGAAAGTTGCTCATCACTCTGGGACTCTGAGGCCTCATCACATAATTGTGTTAGTGTACTACCTGCTGTGCTCAATATTGAGTGAAAATGGAAGCTAGACCCCGCGCCATCCTATTTCACAATTCGTCTTTTATTTAAATAATTCCAGTCAGTTTGGGGGACGCCAGACCTTTATAAATTAACAGCAGGGAAATACCAAAGGTGTCAGATTGCATATTTATCATCTTTCTCGTGTAATACTTAAATATGTATTAAGAAGTGACTGACATAAATTAGGCAGATTTCAGAAGCCACAGGCCGTGGCTTGTAGAGGACCCCCTTCTGCTTGACATTTCATCCTTGTCAAAGATCAAATTATTTTAATTTAGGCTGCAAATTATAAGAAATGAAGACTTCTTTGTGGGAATTCCCTGTGGTAATCTGACTTTTGTTGTTACTGCTGCTTGTCAGTGTGCAAAAGATATAATATGCATGCAAATAAGGTTAAAAAATATGTACTATCTAATTATCCAGCCAGTACATTCCACTTGAAGACAGTGGGAGGCCTGACACACAGTATGTGTTTGATTCATTGAGGCCTGCAGGGTATTTACACAAGATTACTTTTAATTATGAAATTAATATCTGTTTATCTAGAATGTATAGCAGTAAGTGAGCATACACATGAGCAGAATTTTTAGCAAAATAAATCATCTTAGTATTTAATACATATAAAATATAGGGGGCAACCACAAATTTGTTTCCAGAAATCAGTGAAGTCCTATACCTTTTTTCTTGTAAGAAAAGTGTAATTGAAAAGTTACACTTTCACTTACAGTTGTTGCCACAACTGCCAGCTCACTTTCAGATGTCTTTTGACTTTAAAGGCTTCTGTGTATGAATATAATCTATAGGTTTAAAATTTAATTCTTGAAGAGCAAATATTAAATGGGAATCTTAGTGTTGAAATAGTTCTCTGTCCAGATATATGCTCTTAGAAGAATTAAGAAGAAGTGTGTGCATTATAATACAGTTCTGTTTTGTGATCTCAGAAATTTTCAGAGTAAACAAATAATTATTCACAGTTATTTTTGAGTTATACTTTGCTTTTCTTCTTCAAAGCTGCGATAAAGGTTTAGGCAGAGAGGAAGAAGTGCCAGTGACCCACAGAGCAGCAAGCTGCAAGATGTCAGTGGACTATTACTGAAGCATGGTTAATTATTTTTCCAGTTTTCTTCCTGATTATTGCATATTGCAATTACAAAATAATACCCTTAATCAGTTTTCAATGGATCACTAGATCCTTTGCTAGCTTGCAGAAGAACGTTGCAGAAGTAGGATCTAATGTTTTAAAAAATATGCTGCTCTACACTGTGGTGCATGTGACTTGCCAGCATATCTATATACTTCATCTTTGTTGTGAGGAATGAAGCTAATCTAACTCTAGACAAGGTACATGTATATGAATCCTGGGAATTTTGGCTGGTTCAGTGAACTAATCAGTAGAACTGAATGCTTTGCCTTCCACGTGCGGGTTCCACTGTAGTAATGTGAAGTTGGGTCTTTTTTTTATTCTGTGGAGTTTCTTCAGTATTTTTCTACAATTTTTTGTGAGTTAGGAGGGTAGAGTTATGAGTTATGTTGGTAGAGGGACTTAGCTTGAGTAAATTATAGCCAGCGAAGGGAAGGTGTATCCTGTCAAGCTAGGTGCATCTCATCCAATGTGTCTCAGGTGAACTGTATTTGCAAATGTCATAGGCTTCAGCCACTGGAGAAAATGCTGCCGTTTGTCACTCAACAAGTTGAGTGACAAAGTTGGCTGATAAGTTAAGAACCCTGAACTGTTCTCCAGAAGTGCAAAATATGGTCCCTTATAAGATATAATTGGAAGCCAGATTTAGCAAAGAAATGTACCTCTGTCGAATGCCTATAAGTCCAGGTTTGCTGTAGGAAGCAGGAGAAATACATACTGGTAACACAAGATGCCCTACAGTCATTATTTCATCACTGAAGGGACTATCCCACAAAGATTACTTCTGTGTGTCCAGTAGGTCTTGGTAAAATTTTAGGTCACTGATACCTCTTCTTTAGCTCCATAACCTGTGTTTTCCTTTGGCAACGATGTGTATTTAAGAGAACTGGATAGTAGAGGTTCTGGGATAAGAAATGCTTTAGCTGCATCAGCATTTGCTGTACCAATTTCTACTAATCTTACCTCCTAGTAGGAGTTATTAGTCAGGTATAGCCCTATGGTGATATGCTTGTTGTGCCTTTGGATTGAAACTAATACCTGTGTGGTGTTCTGTGTTCTCAGGGCATGTTCCATGAGGCTGTGTAGTCCCTGCCTGCAGGGACTTTTATATTCAGTTTCATGTGGAAGGGACTCAGTTGTTACAGTGACAAGTATCATTGCAGAATCATCAGACAGACAATTTAGCTGGAACAGGCATCAAAACCCCTCCAGTTATTGATATAGAAATTTTGGTAGTAAAATGGTTTTCTGTTAATAGCTGTATCGAAGCTTAAGCAGTCAAAAGCTGACTAGCAATTATGTTTTACCTTCAGAATGAGGATCTGATCTCATACCTCCTTTTCAAATTTAAGTATATATCTTAGGTGTAAATATTGAATAAACTATTAGCAGTGTTAAGAATGATGAATTGCTGAAGAAAAATATCTATCTGATAGGTAGAATATTCAGATTTTTCTTTCTCTCTTATTGTTTTCTCTCTCTTTTTTTTTCCCTTCTTTTTCCCCTTTTTAATCAGTGTGATGGAATTCAGCTGGACTTAATCAATATATCTCTGGAAGGAATTGCCATTCTGAACATCCCAAGCATGCATGGTGGATCGAATCTCTGGGGAGAGACAAAGAAAAGACGTAGCCACCGTCGGACAGAAAAGAAGAGGTCAGATAAAAGAACCACTGTTACAGATGCCAAGGAATTGAAGTTTGCATGCCAAGGTAAGCTTACAGATTGATATAGGCTATCTGGCTCAATACAGTCAACTCAGCTGTATAAATGACCTTGTATTACCTCTTGTCAAGAAAAAGGATAGACAGTTCTTAGATATTTCCTTTCTTGTGCATTTAGCTTTTCTGATGGGAAGCACTGGCGCAAAGGCATAAACAAAGATGTGCTAACAATTACAGTCTATATACTTGCAAACCTGTCTCAGATGTTACCTGTTAAGCAAACTAAACACACCACATGGCACTGTTTGCTACTGTGACATTCAGTCTAGAAGTACCTGGAGATTTTGGAGTTGGAAAATGCTTCCTGAGCATTTATAATGCTTCTTAATGTCAGTGTACATAAAACTTGGGGATAATCATGCCCTGTTTCTAGCAAGCTTTGGATAGAGGCAATGGGAAATTAGAGTAACAAGTACAAGCTGCCTATACATTTTATGTTACTATACTGTGATGCTGTATGCAATCCTTGAATACATAAGCTGAAGTTGGCTTGCACAGGCAAGGCTCATATAATTTCCTGGTGATTACTCTTGATAAAGCCTATAATAAATAGTAATTTCTGTTCTACTTTGAGAGTCTGAATACTATGCATTGTAACACATCGCTGCATATCACAAGTTCTAGTGATTATAAACCATCACTCTCTTTACACCAAAGGGATGAACAGACTAGACTTTGAAAATATTTGGGGTTGTTTGTTTGTTTGTTTGTTTTTTCTCTTTTTATTCTACAGAAAATATTGTGTTATCTTCAGAATATCTTCCTACTTCTCCTCCTTATTCGGACTGAATACAGATCAGGACTGTCTTATACTATTATGATCCTTTTACTAATATTGATATCTTATTTTTACATTTCATCAGCAGTAATTTTTAAGTCACTAGTTATATTCAATAATATGTGTTGTAGTTTTAATTCAGCTAAATTATCTGGATTACAAAAGTTTAGGAATAAAGTATTTTTTTCTGGCTTGGAGGCTGCAATAGGTACTAGGACTCAATTTCTGTAAGTTTGAGCAATTCGGTACGTGTTCTCAGTATTTCAATGTGACTCACCAGTACAGTTTGTCAGCTGAAGTTCTATCAGGTGCTAAGCTTCTCCACTACAATGTCTGTATTATATCCTGATGTTCAAGAGTTGGATACAGGCTGTTGGGTAAAGGGCTCACCAAAATTTTTCCTTTTGTTTTGCTTCTGAACATGGGGAGACAGGACATTTATCTTTTTGATAGTGATGAAGCAGACATTATCACTTCTTTAAATATTGAAGTTATGTATGTCTTTGCATATGTAACAATGATTTCAATCTACTGACTATATTTGGGGTATTAAAAGGGCATTGCTACACTCCATTTTCATTTTCCTGGACAGGATAAAATAAAATTATAGTAAAAATATTAAAGACTGAACAGGAGTTGCTACATTATCTGTTGAAGTGTTCATAAAGCAGACGTTAAGCACCTTAATTTAGAAAAGCTACTCTCATGACTTTGTTTCTAATCATTTTATATGCACTGTGGATGGAAAGTAGCTTCATCCAAAAGGCAATTTTAAAGCAGAGATTAACTTTTCAAGATGATAAACTATAGCACCTCTCTCATCACTGAGTACATTGATAGTATTATTGTTTGCGTCTACAGTAACATTTTAGTGCTGAACAGGAGGATGCTTCTTGGGTTTCAGACATCCATATTTACTGTGTTCCAGTTTGCAACATCGAGCAGTCTTGAGCATGTAAACTGGATTCCTTTTAAATGGAGGTAGGAAGGGGGTGTGTACATACTCTGACTGCAAGTGGGTGTTCAGTCCATGGAATAAGGTTAAAAGAACTCAAAGTAAAAATGAACGTGGTGAGAACATTTGAGAACAAACTGATTTGCTCTATGGATCCACTCCTATTTTATACTGCAAAGAACAGTCACTTAGCTAGCTAAGATAGGTTCTCAGGCTGAGTGTGCTCCTTCATCTCAGAATTCAAGATTATTGATGAATAATGGAATTCAACCAATTTTATGGCTAGACTTCTCAAGTAGTTTTGATAAATCTGAATCTACTCACTGTGGAAATAACTGACTGTTTGTCAGTTTTAAAGTGTTATGAGTTCCTCAGTGGCTGATTGCTTTCTTAGGCACATTGTACTTTTGGCACATTGTACTTTTTAACTGGAAGAAAATATTTTGCATAGTATTAATGCCTGGTGCAGAAATAGGTATTGCTTTATTGAGAACCGTGATAAATACATACCTGCCTGTTAACTTTTGTTTATTTATTAACTTTTTCTGAATAAATATCCATGTAGTTCATGTTATATTCAAATAAAGCATCTAATCACTTGACAACTAAACACTGCACTTTCTAGGAGACAGTAATCAAGCATCATGTTTTCCTATGGATATATATTTATATATATATATATACACATCAGGTTTTGGTGTTGGATTTTGTGGGGAGTTGTTTTTTTTTAAATCTAACCATTTTATATGGGACTTCTTGGTGTCATGCACATTTAGTTTTAGACTTTTTAAATTGCAGTGAAACTGTGGGGTTTCTTTTAACTGTGTATCATTCTGTATTCTTTTTGTCTCTATTTTTATGGTTTTGTAAGTTGTCTATAAATACCTGAATTGAAGCTCCGAGTCCCTAAATGGGGTACTTACATAGACTAGTGGAAGCTGTCTCCTCACTCTGGGTAGTTCGGTACCCCTGAGCATATTGCACTGCTCCTCTCAGAACAGCCCTGGGAGGACTTTGCAAACTTCCAAAAAATCCTCTGTGAGATCCTGCTGCTGTCCTCCCCCTCTTGCACCTAACAAACCATATACATGACAACATGTTCATCACTGCAGGAAAAAGGGTCAAATTTCTGCCAAATCATTTTTCTTTCTTGTGTATCTGCACAATGCAGGGAAGGAATATTCCTCCGAGCCTACTTCCCTGTTTGTTTTTTTTTAGTTTGGTTTTTTTTCCTATTTACTGTTTCTGCCTCCTGATGCAAAAAGGCTTGTATTTTCTTTCCCCTTCCCATTATCCGCCTCTTCACACTCAATAGCCAGACCACAATTTACACTTTAAGTAATCAAATGGACATCTGCTTGGAAAATAATCTGATTATGTGCAAGTAGTCTGAAAAAAACAATATATTGAAATGTAGCAATTTAAAAGGTTCACTATTTAAAAACATTCCCTACTTATCTCATTAGGAGTTTGTGCATGTATGCTAAAGAGTAACATGAGACACTCATGGCATATAGGTGTGTGTGTCTGTGTGTATTGTATTTCTATTTAACTAGTAACTGGCTTTAATATTTTTCTATAAAACATGTATGAAAATATATTTTTCTGATTATCTTATAACTAGTTGGGAAAAAAACCCCACATATTTACCTGTACTGTACTAAATATTATCATAATCTTTGTTAATGGAAAAAAATACCCCGGATTTCAATCAGCTTCTGTGCAGAAGTAGAGAGGGTATTTCATCAGATGTTATTAGGGTAAAAATCAGGTGTTTTTTTTATAAATTAATTTAATTTTAATTTCTAATTTGTCGGTACAATTTCTTTTTTACAAAGTCAGTGCATTTGGAAAAACTATAACTACAGATATATGTGACAATTTGTGAAAGTAGATGACTTAATTAGTATTTTGACTTTATGAATCTGACACTTCTAATGTTTCTATTTGTTGTTTTGTTTAAAATCTTCTAGTATGTACATAGCTATGATATACGTATCCACAACCGATTTACAGGTTTTAGGTGTTACTGTGAACTATCCTTGAATATTATTTGGGTAGGACTTTTGTTTGAATATACACAGATATTGATAAATGCCAAAAATCAGTGCTTTAAAAAGATGAACATACTGCATAGAAACTAAACTATGAGTTGAGAAACATAAATGCAAATAACCGAGCTACTTGTTTGGAAATTGCATCCAAAACGTAAGTTGAATGACAACATGTCTTACATGAAATATATATTCCACTTATGTTAAGTGTTAAACAGTTTTCTTCCTCACAGAGATACTAAATAAATTTTTCAAACCTTTTGTGACAAAAAAGAAATAATATTTTCAAAATCTCTCCATTAAACTTTTTGTTAAATGAAGTTGGGTTCCTTTGGGGTGGCTATTGTACTTTGATTCACTTTCATTGCTGAAGTTCAGTTAGGGCCTTGTCCTGAAGTGGAATCTCTTTTAAAGTCTCTTAAGACTTTATTGCAAACATGTACGTAACTTGTTTTTGCACAAGTAGTTCCACTCACCTCAATGGACTCATTCCTGAAGACAATATCTATGAACTATTAATGGGTGAAACCTTTAGACTATAAATATTTCAGTGCAATACTTTCTTCATATTTATTTTGTACATCACCAAGCACACTGATACTTAACCAAGTACTTACCAGGTTGATCTGTGCATCTGGTTAAAAGCTGCAGTGAGCTGTCACTCCGTGACATGCCCCTAAACTAGTTCAAGACAATGTGCATTCATGTCACAGCACCCAGGCCTAAGGCAAGCTTACTAAAATGATTCAATACCTCTGTGTGGAAATCTCTGTTAATAACTGCATTATGACTTTCTGACTGGAAATGCAGAAGTTTTGGAGGTAGAATAATGTGTATGCAGGCAGTTCACTGCAGTTAAAAGCAGTTAAAAACATGCAGCATGCAGAGACTGTGAAGGCCTTAAAACACTTCAAAATATCTATATATTTTAAAAGAATACAAAATACCTTTCTTAGGTGTCAAATTCCCCTCTAGAGGATGAAGAAGAAGCTTGCCTATAGCAAGGGGATTCCTGACATGTTCTCTAAATGACTTATGACTTGGGCTAGCAGGCTTATTTGATTTATGGAGGTCTTTCATAAACTACACTCTGGCCACGTGACCTTTCCTTGTTGAAAAAATTAGAAACTGTGTTCTATATACAAAGTATATGTATTATATACACTAAATATACTCAGTGTATATTCACTATTGGTAGACA